ATTTTTCATCCTCAGAATCAGTTTGTGTAGTCATTCTGCAGTGTTTTGACTTCTCGGTGAGCTGGTGTGCTTGAGCTGCAGGACGTGCATCTATATAGTGTCACATTTAAGCCACTTTGTTCATTTTTATGGGGAAAAAAATGCAACTTGGATGCATATAAATGAGTTTTGAGGGTTTAATCAACAACCAGAGAGGATTAATTTGAGTGCAAAGAATTGGATTAAAGCTTAAACAACACTGTAACGTCTTATACTAACTTAAAACTTGATTTCCTACTTCGTAAATGAATTGTATTTAATTCTCGGCATGCTCCTCGTTTCTCTGTATTTTATCTGATTTCTCAGCAGGATGAAATAAACTTGTTTTCAGGGAGCTTTCACGAGTTCATCAGCGGAGTATTACATCCTCATTACTGGTAAAAAAAAAAAAAATTCTGCTCGGTCCATTTATATTTTGAAATCCGGTTAGAGCGAGCAACATTTCTTCTTCCTGCTCCTGCCCCTCTCCATCTTCTCACCCTCCGATGCAGGACAATAGCTTTTATGACCACCTCGTGAATCACGGGAGGGCGATGGGAGTCGGGCCGGAGGACGCTCGGCTGTAGCTCTCCTCCTCCCCGTCCTCAGATCGAATCGCGGAGCACAAGGAGGGGTTAGCGCCAGTGGAGCAGGAAGCAGGGGGCCGGGCGGCGGCGGCGGCGGCGGCGAAGGACTGTCACCCGTTAATAAATGACCACCTCATACGGGCTTGTCATCCCGCTGGAAGAGTTAGTGCCCTTGCCTGGATGGACAGCGGAGTTGGCAATTTGTCTCGCGGCTAGCAGGGGGAATCTTGACTCAGGCATTTAAAAGAGCATTTGGGACAGAGCTGGGCAGGTTGAACAGCTCCCCATAAAATAGCAGAATTGATTATACGTCATAGCTCAGAGGCTTCAAGTGTAGAAATTATTTCATTTGGTGGCGGAAGCTTTTAAAAGGCAGGTATCTCCGAATTACCTCTTGGTGTGCTAATTAGACAGCAGAGTGTGGAGCTTTAGATTAGAAAATAACCTTGTGAACACCTTTATAGTTGGATTGTGGACATTAAGACTTGCCTCCTATAAATATATGTATTTGTAGGCCATGTGCTAGTGACTTTTCTATGGTTTTTTTTGAGTTTACAGTGAAATAGCTGGAGAACAATTGGATGGATTGTGATGAAATGTGGTGCAAACATTATGCTTTCCCCTCCTCATGAATTTAAATTCTACCTCATCAACAAGTCACAAAGCAGATTGTGGAGCTTTAGATTAGAAAAATAACCTCTTGAACACCTTTATAGTTGGAGTGTGGACATTAAGACTTGCCTCCTATAAATATATGTGTTTGTAGGCCATGTGCTTGTGACTTTTCTATGTTTTTTTTGGGTTTACAGTGAAATATGTGGAGAACAATTGGATGGACTGTGATGAAATGTGGTTTTCTCCTTCCCATGAATTTAAATTTTACCTCATCAACAAGTCACGATTTTATTTTGAAAATACCGACAGATATTCGATTAGTTTCACGATTCTTCTATTCCCACCACATGTGTCCCATAACATTGCACCATCATCGTATTTTTTCCCTCCCCTCGCAGATGTTGCATGAAACACTCAAGGTGTTACCCTCGCCGAAGCCGAGCGGCCGTAAATCCTCCGTCGCGGTTGCAAAATATGAGACATCTGCTGAGTCTGGATTTAAAATCCCCCAAAAAAACATTATTTAGAACTCCTTCAAGGCTTCGCCACGTGCTGTCCGGCGAGGACGGCTGCCAGTCAGGTGTGGGAAGAGTTCATTCCTGAGCGATGATGATCCATCACCCGGAGCCCCGCTGTGTTGTCCTAAACAAATGCAGTCTCACTATATCACAGTGAATTGTGTAAATCGCTGCCTTTGTGAGGATGCCATCCCCGCTTGACCTTTTTTTTTTTCCCCCCGTGCGCCTGAGAAAACCTGTTGTTTGGCTCTTTGGAGGGGCTGAAGGGCAGCTGCTTTCTAACCTATTGACAGCTCGGAAGAAGCTAGAAATGCGGTTTTGAAATCCGCGTGTTATTTGAATAAAGCTTGTCCCTTTTCTCACCCGCCATCCACGAATGTAAAACACTCTCCCACCCCTCGACCCCGCTGATAAATCGTCCATTGTGACGGGAACATGATTACACGAAGCCGCGGCTGTAGGCCATTCAGCAGGCAGACGGAGCGCCATGTCACCTCTAAGAGGGCTTTGAATAAATGTCCCCGTCTCCACCAAGGCCCACTTCCTTAATCAGGGTGTCGGATGGTAATGATTAGCTTCCTGCGCGCGCTTCTCTGCCGCCGCCGCCGAATCGTCCACATAACTCATCCCGCCGTTAATAATCTGCCTGCAGAGACAGTGCCCTTCTTTACCTTCAGCTAATCCAGCCCTAATCTGAACCACATTCTTTTTTTTTTTCCCGAAAAATTTCATTTATTATGACAAGTACTTTCATGGAATCAGGCCCGTACTTCATATCCAAAGAGACGGGGATACAAGGTGATTGCATCTAAATCCCCCCCAACTAGGTTAAATTATGCAGTCAGCTGGTGTCCCATAGAGAGAGCCCTGATGGGGGGCTGTTGTTTCTCTTCTGCCTTAGGTCACAGCTTGGAAGAAGAGACGAGATGGTGGTGGTGGGGTGGAGGGATTACTGCAGCATCATTTCATTCTGTGTCTATATCCAAAACCTGGATTAGTAACAGGGAGAGGGATTAGAATTTATTATCACACTCCATGCTCAGGCATCTGTTAAGGGCACCGGTCCTTGAAAAGAAACATATTTTTGCTATTAAGCATTTGCCGGATGAGGAGCGCGGCTTTGTCTTTGGCTCCGATAGCAATGACGATGGGGAGCGGGTCAACAAAGCTGCGATCCCTTATTTTATTTTTATTTTTTGATGATTTGAGCCAAGAGAGGAGGCCCCCTTCTTGAAGATAATAGCGTAGCTGTGTAAGATTTAAATACATCTAAATCCAGGACGCGCCGGTTGCAGTTTTTAATTAACACAACAAGTACGTGGCGTCTCCCCGTGACGCTCCAAAGTGAAATTAAATGACTTAATTGGGGGAATAGTAGTTTTGCATATATTCTTTTTCAATCACGGAGCACTCTCTTTATAAAACATCGGTGTCTTTGGACACGGCATTGAATTACTGTGTGCATTTGTCAATAGCATTTATCGTCACGCGCGGATGCACTTCAGGGAACAGCGAGTGCAGCGCGCTACTTTGAGACAAAGGAACGACAAGAGTTAACCTTGAAGTATTGATTTCCTGCCATCGGGTACATGCGCTATATATCCACAGCTATGTGCTCATTTATCTGTTTCTTTCTCCTCTCTCTCTGCCTCTCTTTCTTTCTTTGTGCAGAAATTCTAAACGGGGGTGTTTATGTTGACCAGAACAAATTCCTGTGCCACGCCGACACCATCCACTGGCGTGACATTATCAAGAACCCTCAGGCCGAGCTGCTGGTGGTGCCGTCCAACAACAGCAACCTCGGATGTGAGTATGGCAACGAAAAAAGCCGGTGGATGGAATTCAAATGTAAAGGCGTCCCAGCGCGGCGCACACTAAAAATGCACACACACCAGCAGCAGCAGCAGCAGCAGCAGCAGCAGTCATGCCCCATCCCTTTCTTTTTTTTTATTCATTCTGTTTGCCTGGCGGTCATTTGGAAGCGAAATCACATAGCGTTAGATCAACGTGTGAACCTTTCCATTGTAGTGGTGTGGTAGCGGCTCTGCAGCGAGGCCCATGGAGCCGCTGTCTGCTGTGCTCTTTTTAAATCTCAGTGAATCTGACAGCCGGTTTGAAGCTGCCCACTTCCCTCGGTGCCCGTCCCCCTCCTCACTTCTGGGTCCCAGCAGTCCCTCAGCTTCCCTCTGCTCTGGACATAACAGGCGTCACTATCCGGCGGACATTCGGTGTCAGAAGAGCTGGCTGTTAAAAGACGAGAGGCTCTCAAACTTTTCGGCACATTTACCAGCCTTTATTTTTGTGCTAATTTCAGGGAGAGGTTTCCCCAAGCTTTCTATCTCAAAGCGTGTCAGGGTGAACAACGGGGTCAGCTCAGGCACCAAAATGGCGGAAACGCTGGGAGTGTCTTTGACGACCTTTCGTTGCCTCCTCACGGAGTAAAATCCGCGTCGACTCGGCGAAGCTGGAAGTTTTGAGGAGACACTTTGGAGCACAATGTGTGTTAAACATTGTTATTTTGTTGATTAGATGGCACTGACGGAGGAGGAGGAGGAGGAGGAGGGGGACGGGAACAAAGAAACAGAGGAGGTGGGCAAAAAAGAAAAAAAAAAAAATGACAAGAGCGTGTGGGAGTCGAGGTTGCCAAATTGGGGGCCCCGCGTTTGCCAAACCGTAGTTAGTATTTAACATTAACAACCCCACAGTGGGAGTGGTTGAAAGGACCCGGTGACAGTCTGCCGCACTTACTCTGTAATTAACCCGTAGTCAATTAAGTCTTGATGATGGGCCACGAGCAAATGAAGGCTGTGAGTGCTCTGTCAGGTCCCACTTTGCCTGCGAGCACTTGACGGAGGGGAGGGAGTGGAAGTCTGTCTTTCATGCTCAGGTTTTCCTCACGAGGGCCGCAAGTCGCCGAGGAGATCCGTCACTGTCGCTGCTCGAGGAGGAGGGGGACATTTTAAGGAGTCGCGCGCGAGTGGACGATTAGGAGTTTCCAAGTTTGCAGATGATGGTTGTTTGTCGGTTTGTTTTTTTGCAGGCAGACGCTGCCATCGCTCGTGCAACGGACGCTGCTGGGGCCACCAGGAAGACCAGTGTCAAACCTGTGAGCATGCACACACACACACACACAAAATACAAAATCCAGGCCCGCTAACTTGCTATAACCGATGCAGATACTAAAATAAAGGATCAGCAGTTTGGGGACAGCCAGTTTTCCTGTCAAGATTAAGATCAGAGAATCGGAACCCGCCCTCATGTGGTTAGCGTTAGCTTAGCATAAGCTGCCGAAATGCAAATCGTCGCCATAAATAAAAGCAAACAAAAGAATAAAAGCAATAAAAAAAAAGTTGGAATGACCCTCTGTATTTACACAGTGGTAGGAGATGATGAAGCACAGCCTGCTTTAGAATAATCTATAATCTCTTTTAATCTGTTTTGACATAGATTTATTATCTTTGGGTTTGTGAGAACATCTTTTTTTTTTTTTTTTTGAGCTTTTTCTTCCCGTTTATTTTTTATTTACTCCGAGAACCAAGGTCGAACACAGGAAAACAAATGGCCAACTGTTGGAAATAAATAACTTTTCCATCGCATGTTGCTACATAACACACAAAAAAAAGAAAGATATATAAGTTTGTCTGGCGGTAACAGCACAAAAGTAGCGGAGGGGAGAAAAAAAAGAAAACGGTAACCGACACAAAGACGACAAAGGAAGCAGGGCGGCTGGAGGAACGTCAGTTCTCCGTATAATTACAGGATGTTCTACTCATGTTGTAAAGACCTAGCGAGGGACTGGCCTGTTTTTCTCAGACTAACACAGACTACAGAGCCTTGTTGTGTGTGTGTTTTTCTTTCTTTCTTTCTTTTTTTTTTCTCACTCCTGCATCATTATGTTCGCAACTCAGCAGAGAGTGAGCACAGCAGTTTTTAATGCCTCAGCCTCGAGCTCCTGCTGACTCGCTGGCTGGTATTTCTCCACCGATGCTGTGTGGGAGACGAGTGTTGGAGCGACTTTAATGCAATAGGTACAAGCCGCGCGTTACCGATCATGCTTCCGTAGCTTCCTTTAAGCTAATGTTGCGATAAAATGGCGGGAAGCGGGTGGGAGGAGTTTCCCTGGTTACCGAGTTGGCATAGCAACGATTAAAACCCAGGCTGGAAGGCATCTTTGGCCAAAAGGGTCGGCGAGGTTGGGATTAAATATGATGTTTCAATGAGATCCAAAGAGTTTTTGTCAAACTTTATTTATCGAGGAAAAAGCCACCTCAGGAGTCATACCTGCAAAATTTAGCTGTTGAAGACAAGAGGCTTGTTCAAGGGCACCTCAGGAGGAGTTGTTGAAAGAGGAGACAGCGCTCCATGTTTTTTTTTTTTCTTTTAAAGTCCGTCTGAGCTTTCAAGCCAGTGATCTTGTGGTCACAAACCCACTTGTCTGACCTTTTAGGTTGCCGAAGCCCCTCGTTGTGTTTTTTTCCTCTTGAATTCCCAATCAGATGATGTTTCTCACTCGAAAAGGGAAGGTTGAGGGCGGCGGCATATTGTCTCTGCATGCATGTGTGTGTGTGTCAGACCTTTAAAATTCAGTCTTTTCACTTCCTGGGCAGTGACAAAAACGGTGTGTGCAGAGCAGTGTGACGGTCGATGCTTCGGGCCTTACGTCAGTGACTGCTGCCATCGCGAATGTGCCGGCGGCTGCTCGGGCCCCAAGGACACGGACTGCTTTGTACGTCACACACACACACACACACACTTTTCATACCTCCCTTAACTTCCCTTCTCCTCTCTTTTTACTTTATCTCTCTCATTTCTGCCTCCACCAACTCTCTGAACTCCATCCCCCTTCGCCACCCGACTCCAACATCTGTCCGTCATCCGAAAGAGATCCACTTTGTTTACCCGCTGATGAATTGTTTGTCATTTTACAAGGCCGTAAAAGTCTGCCACGGCGGCAGTCTTCAAAAGAACAAATTGGTGATTCAATGTTCCAATTAATATCCCCCCCCCACCCCCTCTCCTTTTATCACCTCAAGTTCGTCCTGTTTGGCGAACTCGTGCTCGGCGCCGGGGCTGATATTGTAGTTGTAATTCACGGGAAGGCTCATCCAATTCAATTACAGCCCCGTTTCAGCCTGTGGCCACAGACGACAAAACACTTAAGAGGTTTATGGGAAAACATTTCACCATTTACATCATGGCTGTGGATCAATGGCTCCAATTTTTCTCCCATTTGGTGTTCAAAGAGACGAGGGACAGCTGCATGAGTCGCGTGTCACAGTCGGCGTAAAAATGAAATGCTGCTGCAATATTCTCTCACTCCCAGCGACTTAGAGGGATGGGGGGGTGGGGGAGTCCACGACTCTCGGCTTCACTGTGGTTGCTATTTCGCAGGCTTGCACCAATTTCAACGACAGCGGAGCGTGCGTGACCCAGTGCCCTCAGCCGTTCGTCTACAACCCGACGTCCTTCCAGCTGGAGCACAACCCCAGAGCCAAGTACACCTACGGAGCCTTCTGCGTCAAGAAGTGTCCACGTAAGTCACGCGTTGGCAACCAAAGATCCCAAACACCGTAACTGCGGGTACATAGATGCTCGTAACGAAGCTCGTAATTAAGTTTTATAGCGCTGGTGGTGTCTATTGAAGAAGCGTTTATCCTCTCGCTATTCTGAAATTAGACTCCAGACAATTATTCCAAGTCAAGATAAATTACTCCAACATAAATAAATTGTGTATCTCAATCAACTAGTTGCCACACCATCTGCTTCAGCTTCTGGCAGCTCGGGGAAAAGGAGAAAAAAAAAGAGCAAATCTTAGTTCTTTCTTTCACGGATTGCGGAGTCAGAGTGCAGCGGTAATTCAGCGAGCGTGCATTAAAAGTCAAGCTACGCCAACAGATTGCATATTCAAGTTCCACTGATCATCAAATGAGCATACGCCACTCGCGCTTTTCCACCGCCGACGCCACCGAGCGCTAATTTGATTCATTACTTTTCCTGAGCAATATAGGCCCAGACCATTAGTTCTGATCATTATACAAATGTGATTAAAATACAATCAATTTCTCGCCATTAGCGGGGGTCCTTCTAGGAAATTGCTCCGAGAATAAATGCCGCACTTTGATTTAAAGCAAAATGGACATTGTTAGATCTTCCCGTAGGTGTCATGTATGCGATGGAGCCGGCTAATGCTCGTGTTCTTTGCCGTCAGATAACTTCGTGGTGGACCACAGCTCCTGTGTCAGAGCGTGTCCCAGCAACAAGATGGAAGTGGAGGAGAACCGAATCAAAATGTGCATCCCTTGTACCGACATCTGCCCTAAAGGTAAACCGCACGATGCCGTCCAGAATATTAAGCGATGTAGTTGGCAAAGTCCCATGAACGCAGACGCTACAGTAGCAGTTGGATGGCTGATGTTGCAGATGCATGTGTCGCATGCAGATTTAAGTGATTTAACGTTTGCCAAATAATGGCCGTCATGAGTTTGCAGTTGCACAATTAACCCTCTAAACCCTTAACTGGGTTTAAAAGGCATGCCTATGAGAAATCATAGCATTTATCAGAGCCAGGATCTCTAAAATAAAGAAAGAATATTTGCAACTTTCCAGGGCCTACTGGGTGTAACTTCTCGTTCTGTTGGAAACATTTACCAAATCTAAGCCAAAACTCAGGTCCTTGGAAATTTCAACACAACATGTCAGAGAGTTTTTGTCTGGATGGGGAAAAATCTGATTCCAAGTTGGGGTTTAGAGGTTTACAGCAGTAACTGTGTCATGCTAACATTAGCCACCATAACCCTGAGTGTGTAGCAAAACCCATGAAGACATGGCGGCGTATGAGTTTAAATAAATCCAAGTTTCATTTTGTCAGGAGACAAATTGGTATTTTAGTTTATTTTATTTCCTTTAATAGGACTTTATTTTGATTTTTTGCACCTTGGGCAACTATTTCTCCAACCAGGCACATCAAAATTGCTAAAATTATGATTTTGTGTAAACATAAGACATTTGTGGGAAAAATGTGACTGTGTTTTGGTGCCAAATCGCACCTTTAGTCTGAAGGTTTTAGTATTTTTTTCAAACCTGAGCCTTATTTTCCCACACTTGGGTGCTTAAATGCTTAAACTAGTCTAGCATATATCCAAATAAAAGTGCTCTTTTTTGTTCGACAGGCTCAGATTGTGATTAAACTATTATGTTTCTGAATAAAGAATGTCTGCAGAGAATGGTCTAACATGTGTCAGAAGTCACTATTTGAAAGCTTTCAAAACCCCTTTAACTTCTAGAAACAGCAGTCTGAGCAGAACGTCGTTTTGTAGAAGATTTGGATTGTGCAAAAAGACAGGCCTGCTTGCTTCTTTAGGTTAATTAGCCAGTAGTTGGTTAACCCACTACTAACTTGCAGGGGCACCGTTGCTGCATCCTGGGCTAAGCTCCACCCAAGACAACTGGGATCGGTTTCAAAGAAATACAGTCACTCCAGGAAGTGTGGAATCCTTGTTGCTCAATATTGGACCAATTCCAAACATTTTGGTCCCCATCACTCATTTACACCCAAAACTATGGGAAAATGGGGCGCGGGTTTAATTACACTGGTATTAACCTTTCAAACGATGACACTTTGGAGTAACTTTTATCACCACTCCAGTTTTGATTCATCTAGTGGCGATGTGTTTTATCGCCCATTGCCTGCATCGCTCATGAGTGGTGCTTCTTGCCTTGTAAGAGTTGTGTGCAGAGATGGACTGAGAGCTTTTTACTGAGAAGGTAAAGTTCAGAACATGCGGTTCACAATGTGTAATGTGAAAAAGTTCCGCTCGGTGGGATGAAAGCCAGGTTTTATTCGGTACTTTTTTTCCCCCTCCCCCTTTGCTTCCTCTATGTGCTGGCCCACTTCACTGCATTTACTGTATGTACAAGAGCTTAAAACATTTTAATCTAATAGCTTTATGCTAACAGTGATGATACTGAATCAACAGCAGCCCACAGGAATTACTTAAAAAGCTTTATAGGAAATGCAATTTACTACTATGGGAGCCAGATTTTTTTCTTATGTATTGCACTAAATCTACTTACAGTTGATTTATCGATTGAAGCCCCTTCCCTAAAAATCTACATTTCTAAAAATGTTCATCCCTGAATAGTCTTTCTTCTTACACACAGTAAGCTTTAGGTTAAGTATTCTGTTTATGCTTCTTCTCTTATGACTGCGAATCCAGTGTGCACTCATTGCATCCTGCAGGATAAATATGTTAAATTCAGCATAAATGAAGGTCAGATGTTTCATCCCCAACACAGACGACACGTTAATTAAGATGGACCCGTAACGAGGAGCTGCTCTTACCTGCTCAGTAATTACGAGTCATTTTGCGGCAGGAGCATCAGCTAAATGCCTGAAATGCCTAATGTAAAATTAAACCGCATTACTTGGGTTCAATACGGCGGATTAGCCCCTTCATCATATTGTTCTCACAAAGGTAACTGATCTGCCCTTTCTCTTCGGAGAGGCAACGGTGTTTTCCTTCAGGGGCCCCACCGTGTACGAGCCGCAGCATCCATTGATTGGCTAATCTCTTGATTACATCGTCACATGGCAGGGAGGGGTTAATGAGGGATAGCCCAAGGAACTGTGGGAAATGATAACAAATTAACATTTCAGATATGGAATTGGTTGGTATAAATCACTATCAAAAACTGGTTACACCACTTAATGCCAGCCTTATTCATCATCCCCTCCGCCTCTGTCAGAAATACTTGGCTCACACTAGACCGCAAGTGTAATTAATGCAGATGTAATGAATTCATTATAGGGAGGAATTGGCTGCGGATTGGCCCGTGCTTTCATCAAAAGAATTCCAATGCATGGAGAGGGTGGGTGGTGGGTGGTGGGGGCAACGGCCTTGAATCATGCACCCAAAGCAGGGGCTACATTCTCATAAAAGAGAATAAAAAATTAAAGTGACAAATGGCTAATAGTGGTTTTCTCAAAACGGGGCCTCCGCCACACAAGGACGCGGCGGCAGGTAATTTGTTCGCACCTGAAACAACTTTAAAAAAAGGTAATTATTTGTGAATAATGTATGATTGCGTGCTTCGTCAGTGTGCGACGGCATCGGGACGGGGAGCCTGCAGACGGCGCAAACGGTGGACGCCAGCAACATCGAGAAGTTCGTCAACTGCACCAAGATCAACGGCAACCTCATCTTCCTCATCACTGGCATTAAAGGGTAAGTGAGAAGGTGCAAACACAACGTTGTCATAATGCTGAAATGGTGAACACGTCGCCTATTAGCTGCTCTTCTAAATACCAGTTTGGGGGCTTCAGAGTGTCGATGGCTGAATATTCTGAGGTTTGACCATAGACGGTATAAAAGATGGACGTAGCAACCAGCCCTGAAAAATGAAGCCAACCCGGAAGTGTCAAAACCTGCGTCTGCCAACTGCTGGCTCCAAAAAGCTCTGGCTCCCATAGACTTGAATTGGAAAAGAAGTGATCACAGATCACCAAATCCTGCATTCCTACAACTCAGGATTTTTAAAAAAAAATTAGTTTTCATGGTCAAATCCAGAGATCAGGTGGCCAATCTGAAAATAAATCAATACTGAATTTTTTAAAAATCGTCAACATTTTGCGGGGCAAGGGGCGTGGCTGGCTTGATTGACAGTCGACGATGCAGACGAAGCGAGCAGAAGGCGGTAAATGTGGGCGGGCAGAGAGGGCCTGCCTCTCAATCCGTCTGACCAATCGCTGCTCCGCCCCCCCTCCGACGATTTTTGCGTCACCAAAAATCCAAGATGTCAACCAGGAAGTAGCAAAACCCTGGCTTCATTTTCTCAGTGCAGGAACCAACGGGTAGCTACGTCCATCTTTTATACAGTCTATGGGTTTGACTGAGCGTGGTGGGTGTGCACCACATGACAGTTAGCCATGACGGTAGTATGACATTACCCTTTTTGAAGTCTAAAAGTATAGACGTTAAGACACAGTTCTGCTCTTGAAGTTTGCATCGGTAGATTCAAGACATCTGTCAATCTTTGCAAATCTTCTGACTTCATGAGGATTTTTGCGGTAATGCATATATAATAAACAACAACAAATAATAATTTAAAAAGAAAGCGTTTCAATATCGATTTTAATGTGGATTACTATGACAATGATTCATTTAATCCCGATTAGTCCTGCTGAGTCCACTCTCATTTATCTCCGTTTTGGTCTCCACCACCTCCATTGGTAACATTTTTGCCTCTAGAGCCGCTAAATCCTGCTAAAATAAAGTTTTACTTTTAGCACAGCTGCCCTTGCAGCGTCCATACTGTTGCACACAGTGTGTATTACAACTGGGACACTTGCTCACAACGTTGTGCAATGACTGTTGCTGCCATCTGTTTATACACTCAGGCTTGTTTCTGCTGTTGCGTCGAGGATTCTGGGTCAGGCTTCCAGACTGCAGACTCGTCCTTATTTCTGGCATACTGCATGTGACATACTGGGACACGCTAACATTTTTTCTATATATATATTGTAGGGAAATGTGGGTGCTGGACCGCGCCCCACGTCTGTCTGCTGTTGGGTTGAGCTTAATTGTTTCTCTCCACAGGCAACAGCTTTAAAATGACATATAGTTATTTACTTTTAATCTAAAAATATTATATCAGAGCAGCTTTTGATTGCTACTTGTCGATGTGTTGCAAGTAACATAGCCCTGGAGACGGGTTCAAACACTTCTAAACTCACATCCCATAGCGTCGGAGAGAATCTGGCTCGGGAAGGTCAACAAGCGCCGTTCCCCGTTCAATCAAAAACCAAAGCGCCCCGAGGCTCCGAGGACAGGATGATGCAGGACCGCGAACGTCCCACCTTTGCTCGGAGAACACATTTTCTCAACGATGCCTTCAGGTGCATCGGTTTCTCTGCCTTTCGTAGCCATTAACTGCTTTGCTGTTTCCTTCAGGGACATGTATCACGGCATCGGACCCTTGGACCCCGAGCGCCTCAACGTTTTCCGCACCGTGAAGGAGATCACAGGTAAGGCGGCGTCGCCTCGGAACAGCTAATAACGACGTTATTAGTGCTCGTGTGAATTGTTTGGCCTCTGAAGTAGCAAAAGAAGAGGAAAGCTGGGTTTTGTCAGTGAACTCTAAAAGATGCTCTTGTGGATATAATACGATTGTGTGCATGCTATATGCTTTCAGTGTGTGTGTGTGTGTGTGTGCATCCCTGTGTGTGTATTTATTCATTAGCTATTAGAGGCCTTAAGGGATGAGCAATACCTCGTATACAAACCCTTTTGTCATATTAAACTGCGACTTGCAGTTGAGCCAAACAGCTAATGGAGCGAAGCTGCATTTTCATAATGAAAACCTAAGCAATAAGAAAGAGCAATGGCCGTTCTATCCCAGCCATTTCCTGCTCTATCCCTTTTAATGTCGTTTCCACAGATGCTGATTTGATATAATCTGTCATTAAAGGCAAGTGCAACCGGACAAATTGCGCAGAATATTAAATCCATTCTTTTAATTAACGTATATTGTCCTCTCCCTCGCACATTTTCAGCGAGGAATGGGTTCTTCGCTGAACTTGTTCCTCATCGAAAACACTTTCCTTTTTTTTTTTTTTTGCTCCCCCCCCACTCTTTCTTCCTTTCACTATTTCTACTTAAAATAATACCTTCATGATGGTTGTTAATTATCCATTCACTGTATGAAGAAAAAATTAGGGCTACTTAACCCATTAGAGCCCGACGAACGCTCGCGTCCCTTCTCCTTGATTAGAAAGTGTTTATTAAGACATCGTGCGACAGAGTTTACACCAAATGTAGCGACAGTTAGAACCGGCTGTATGTGCATCTCCGCGCTCGTTATACTCACCAAATCATCATTGCATTGATATTTAATAACTACATATGCACATAATGTCTGTGCAATGCAATCACAAGAAGCTACGCAGTCATGTCCTTATATTATATTATGAGAAAGAGCTGATTGTAATTGTGCTTGTTTGCTCGTACTGGAGCAATAATGTTATGAAGAAGGTGAATAAGTCTTCATTATGCGTAACACAGCTCTAATTACAATATACAGCAGAGCTTACCGTTATGGCCGATGCTCGTTGTGTCTCCAAAAAGTCGTCCAGTTTCCAAATGACAGCAAGTTATTTCCTACTTTGTGTGAAAAATGAACAATACATTGCAATAATCCCAAAGTCGTGGTCGGCAGTGGTGTTCCTAGACTCTGGAGGGGCTCGGGGCAAACTGGCCATAGGAGGCCCCTTGAAAACATTTTCCCCGTCATGGTTCTGATATCGACAGATTCCACACAATCTCCCCGACACAGTTATGAAAAGATATCGGTAATGCCAGCTTTTATTTGGTGACATAAATGCAGTTTTTTTCCCTTAATATAAAAAATAAACATAACAAATCCTAAAAAATCTGGATAGCTGAGATTGTTCTGAAGCAACGAGGACTGGACCCAAACATCAGAGTATGTAGTTGTTGTGGTGGTATCCGGATATATATTCAAGCGGCATTTTTTTGGTGACACAAATGTGATGCGACTATTTTTTTCCCACTTAAAGCCGGTGACACACTGTGCGATTTTCGGCCGTCCCAAAGATAAGAATCGTGAGAGAATCATGATGATATCTTTGGTCTTGGCTCTAAATCGGTGGTCCTATGTCGCGCTGTGAGGCAGGTTCAAGGACGGCAGTTGTCATTGTCTTGCGACAACCTGCGATAAAACTCTGACAGAAATGTGGGTAATCATCTCATCATGTGACTGCAACCTACGTGAACTAACTAACCAATAGAAATGCAGCATGAAATGATCAGCGCGAAACTAGCTCCCTTTGCAAAAGTGGCATCCCAAGTCTTTCCACATTCTCCTCCTTCTCCTCCGTTTTTTTTGGATTTCTCTCCAAACACATAAATGCCGCAAGTGCGAGGGCTCCGTTCATGCTTTGCAAGTTTCTTTTTCGTGGATGGATGCCGCACGTTTATGCCGTTTTATTCGCATTCATTCGTTTTCATCGTGCAATCAACGCACAGTAAACTTTATTAGATTCAAGTCGAACAGTGTAGTTAGCTGTGGACTAGTTTGTAGCCGGCCTAATATAAAGGCTAATATACAAAATCATCTAGACAAATCCTAAAAGATCTGTAAAGCTGAGATTGTTCTGAAGCAACAAGAGCTTCAAAGTGAATACTATCAGGGAAATAAAAGGTTTTGCTAATCAACAGTGTTTCTTGCTGTGTCTTTAGGTTACCTCAACATCCAGTCTTGGCCTGAGAACATGACCGATCTGAGCGTTTTCTCCAGCCTGGCAACCATCGGAGGCAGATCTCTGTACAGGTACGACCACATTCACACCATCTCTCTCGGTTAAGTCGACCTTACAGCGACACCACTTACCGCTCATGTTCCGCGTCACTTTTTTTTTTAACATGTTCGAGTTCAGATCCCATCACAGCCATTCTCGTTGTTTTCTTTTCGCATCGTGACGCTCGCTGTCGGAGCTTGCTGAGCCGCCGGCCTGTCTCGCTGCGCACAGAAGCTCTTTGAAGCGCTGCTGTCACACAGCTTTGATTAGCCCTGTTTTGATAACAGGTTCTGTGTTTGCTTACAAGTGGCAGATCCGAGGGATAACGCTGGCAGAGCCGAAGGAGGTCCGGCCTTGTTTGCTCAAAACGCCGCTGATGAACATGTAGCCCGGCGGTGTTTCGTTAGAGCCGGAGGAACCTTCTGCATCTTGCTCATTATAGTTGTTGTTGTACTTTTTTGTAACTTTGTCGTCCCTCTTTCTTCTCATTGATCCCATTCTTTCTCACCATCTAATCCTCCACTTAACTCCACCTTTGGCTGTGTTTTCATCCTAAATTTCCCATCTTGTTAAAATCAATCCTTTATTCTCCCTTCTCTCTCCTCTCCATCTTTACATCCTAATTTCCTCCTTCTTCTTGCAGCGGAAGCGGCATCTCCCTCCTGATCCTGAAGCAGCGTTGGATCTCCTCTCTGCAGTTTCAGTCGTTGGACGAGATCAGCGCCGGAAACGTCTACATCTTCAACAACAGCCGCCTGTGCTTCTACAACACCGTCAACTGGACGTCGCTCTTCAGGACGCCGAGCCAAAAAGTCCTCATCCGCAACAACCGAGATCCAAGGGAATGCAGTGAGTAGCGGCGAGGCGGCGGCGGCGGCGTTCCTGAATTTTTCACCGTTTGTGCTGCAGATTCTGATGAAAGAATTTAGAGCTATATTGCAACGTCTCCACATGATTATGCAGGATGTTTAAAATTTTGAAGTGGTTTATTTTTGGAGAGCTTTTTTTTTTTTGATTGCACTGGGCAACATTTCAATGGCAGCAGCCAGCCACATCCTCCAAAAGTAAATAAATAACTGAAGACAAACATGAAGTCTCCTGAGCGGCCGAGACTTAATTCTTCCATCGCAGACGCTCGGCAGAAGATGCATGTTTAATTTGAGCTGGGTTTACAGAAAACAGAGGATTTTGGGGGGTTTAACCCTTGCGGATTGCGGATTCGTCCTCCTTTCCTCAGCTGAATTACTCTCGAAGTATTTGTCGCAGCGAGGTGTTGTTACATGAAACCAGTAATGAAGTGTTGCTTTGAATTCACAGCAAATTAGATCACAGTTAGAACCTACATCTCCTCCTCTGTCCTTGTTTTTGAAATGCTACTTTACGACCAATGCATTGCAGTAGAAACTCTTTAAAGACAGATAGAACTTCTGCAAAGTTTCCTTTTCTCCAAGTCAAGAAGTCCCATTCGGAACATAACCTCCCATTTCCAATAATACCAGCCGTTACAAAGAGCAGTGCAGTTTTGAAATAACATAACCCCGGTAACGACATTTTGTTCATCCATTAGGAACTAAGCGCTTTTATCCTCCAGCTTCTCAGATGAAAAGTATTCCCCGTCCTACTTCTGATGTTGCCGGGTTGCGATCGTCCCCGACGCGATTGTTAAATCTCTACTGAGAGCGTTTTACAGTAAGATGCATGTAAAACACAACAATTCCACAATATAAATACGTGCTGTCTTTGATTTAAAAAAATAAAAATAATAATAAAAAGGCCAATGTAAGTGTAGGAAGATGATGGAAGATCTGGATGCTCTCAGAATCAGCTTTAATGGCGGAGTACGTACACGGCGTGCAAGGGATTTGGTTTCGGCTCAGGAGAATGATAGAATAGGAAAATAAAGTAATATAACTATAGAAAGGAAGAAAATATATACAAGAATTTAGACATCTAAGCAGAACACATGTCGGTACAGTGGTGCAATTAACAGTTATGCCTGAGAATGGCTCAGCTGTTCAGCAGGGTTACGGGATAAAAGCTGTTCTTATGTCTGAAATGTGAAATAACTGCAAGAAAATTCTCATTTTTTGAGTGTTTACTGAACCGTCTGACAATTTACATGAGTAAATATGATTAATTTTTACACACGAGTTTGAATTTGTAGCATTTTTGCTACATCCGGCATGAGTTACTGATCAATGGTGGGTTATCGCTGCACTCAATGGGTCTGATTGTGTCCATCAGGTTTAGTAGGAAGGATAAAAATATCTCAAAACCTCATGTATCAAATATGATGCACAGTGGCCCGGTGGTTAGCTAGAACAGTGGTCCCCAACCCGTTTTGCATCACGGACCGATTTTAATCAGGAACATTTTCTACGGACCGGTCATTGCACAAAAAATAATTGTTTCTACTATTAAAAAGTTTCCTAAATTAATAAAATTGCTTGTTAAATATGGGTTTCCGTCTCAGTATCGAGTCTCTTTCCAAAGAAGCTCTCCTGAGATGTTTGTTTTCTTATTTATTTCGGCAGCGGTTAGCGGTTAGCATTAAAACTAACAAGAGTCAAGTGCGAGAAACAAGACGGACGCGACGGGAAGACGAGTCATTTTTCAAAATAAAACACCCTGCAGACTCCACTGGAAATAAAAATAAACCAATCAAATGTTTTTTTTTTTGTTTTTTTTTTTTTCTTTCTGTGCGGCCCAGTACCAATGACCCACGGCCCAGTACTGGTCCGCGGCCCGGTGGTTGGGGACCGCTGAGCTAGAAGATCCTGGTTAAGACACCTGCATGGAGTTTGCATGTTCTCTCCCCGTGTAGCGTGGGTTCTCTCCAGGTTCTCCAGCTGGGATAGTCTCCAGCCCCCCTGCGACCCTAGTGAGGATTAAGCGGTGTATAGATGACGGATGGATGGCGTTACAGAGCCGGACTGTTCTGAGAAAAACAAGATACAACGTGTGTGGCCTTGACCTTATAACAAGATAAAGATAAGAGATCGGAGGGTGAACTGTGGGGAACCTTTGTGCTTTGTTCTGCCAGTGATGCTAAAACCAAGCAGCCTCCAGCGCCGGTGGAAACGAGTGTGTGTGTCGGTACACCTATTAAACCCTCCCGTTCTCTTTATTTTCCCTCCCGTCTGCACTCTAATTAATTCCAAACTTTGATTCCCCCCACATATCTCCGCGACTCCCGGCTCCGCCCCCCCAGCCTTCGCACATTGACGCCGCCGTTTCCAAGGCAACGGCACCACGGGCGTCTCTCGCTCGGCTCGCCGCGACACTCAATGCGTCACGCGGCGAGGCGGGTTGGACTCGCCGACAGCCACGGGGAAGCGGGGACCTGACGGAACGAGGAACAGGCTAATAAAAAAGAATATTGGTCTTATTAATCACCGGCTTGGTCTTATTTGTACCATTTGTTACCCTTTCATGACGTGTCAGGTGTGTTTGCCAGGTGGAGATCACCAGATAACTCGGGTTTTTCCTTTCCTGCCTCGCTGCGGTTGATATCATTAGTCGGCTAATGAGTGCGGTGTGTGTGTGGAAGAGTTCGATCGACGGGGACCTTACACAGGCTTCTTCATTAGGCCCGACCCGCCGTCTGCCATTGACCGCCACGTTGTTGACAAAGGGTTCGACCCCCGCCGGGCCACGCTGGCGAGGAGGAGACGTGGGGGGGATCGTCTGTGCCGAGATAAACAGCATTGATTGCCGGGGTTCAGAGGGGTTCTGGTCGGGGTGTTCTTAAAATGCAGAGGTGTGAGGGAATACCAATGTTTGCAGATGGGCAGCCCTCGGCGAGACCCGAACGCGTACATACAAATGAGCAGAAACGTGCACCCGGCGCCGACTCGTCTCCCAGTAGTGAATGCAGGAGGACGCAAACTGTGAGCGCAAACACTTTAAATCTATAAGTGAACCCTGTGAATCCCAAACATCACTCCTGGTACATTTTTAGCTCATTTTACAGTGTAGTAATAAGTCCACTGCTACAAGTAGAAAGAACTCAGAAGGATATTATAATTATAATGCCATAAACCATTAAAAGAAAACAAAAAACTAGTTGAATTTCTTGGAATATTAAATTTACAAACCTAAAATAAACTGGAATATCCTCACAGGTGTTATCATGACTGTAAAAAATGTGGCTAAGCATATTACTTTTTACTAGTCCCGACTTATATTTTTAATTTCCTCCGTGCTAACACTGCCTGCAGTTCAGCCGAGCTCCGCTAAAAACGCTCTGAATTTTTGTCATGTGACCGTTTGTGCGACTGAACCACTCGTGACGTCACAGTTGCACGGAGAAGCATATAAATTTTTGTTTTGTGCAGATTTTGGTTAGTGCAAATGGTTAGTTTTTGGCAAATTTTTGACTTACAATACATTTTTGAAAAATGAGATTTGATTGTTTTGCTCAATAGAATCGAAACCCACTCGTGGTTAGTTCAAGGACTGTCGGAAAAGTTGAAAATCCAGCATTTTTTTCTGTTTTTATTGCCTCTTGATGTGGTAAATTGTGTAGCTTTTTTTGTAAATGTCATGCTTTTTAAACCCACTGGTAGATTTTGGGGTTAAATTGCTACTAAACCATTATTAGATTGTCAATATTTAAGTTTCCTCTTAGCTTGAATTGCTTTGTATATGTGTGTCTGCATGTGTAAACACATTAAACCTTGTTGGTGAAGATCATCAAGGTCTTGTTTAGTCGTAGCAACTGGACTTGCTTGAAAGAAACCCTAACAAACCCCATTGTGGCAGGGGGCGCTAACGAGTCGCATCATGAAGGGGAGGAGCCACAAACGAGTCGCATCATGAAGGGGAGGAGCCACAAATTAAAACCGAAACTCAAATGTTAATGGCTCCTTAAGTATATAAGCATCTGGAACTCCCAACTCATCAGTCAGAGCTGGTAACGTCTTCAAGGAAGCAGTTGCTACGACTAAACTAAGCATTCACCCTCGTGTTTCTATGTTCACACCTCCTTTCTCTTTACAGCCCAGCAGCGAATGATCTGCGATCGGATGTGCTCGGACGACGGCTGCTGGGGCCCGGGGCCCGACCAGTGCCTCTCCTGTCGGTTCTTCAGACGAGGCCGCACCTGCGTCGAGTCCTGCAACCTCTTTGACGGGTGAGCGGTCCAAATAAAAAAATCATTTCCTTTTTTCTTTGATGCGCTTCGACCGAACGTCTCACGAGCGTCCGGTCGACACAAATCTGTCAAACCGTATGAAGCAAATGAGCGTCCCCCCCACCCCCGAATGTCAGATCATTCCTCTTGCAGGAAGCTGCATTAATTCTCCAGCAAAACAGCCATACGTGATGAGCGGAGGAAATAAAAATCGATTTAAGCAGCTTTAATTCATGAGAATGAAGTCAAAACATCCTCAAGGGCTCAGGAGGAGGAGAGTCTAATTGCCGATTGGCATGAATGTAATGAGAAGATCCAATAAGGAATTTCACAGCGCGAACAGTCAAAGGAACATTTGGCCGCGCGTTACATCCATTGTCCGAAATCAATTTAAATATATTGTTGAATTGCCCATTTGGGCAGACAGACGTGAGTGTTTACTGCTCCGAGCCGGAAAATGACTGACATTTGCCACAAAGGCTGACTGATGTTCAGGTTTCTGTGTGAATAATTGCATTCAGGTCACTGCTCTGTGTTGCCAAGAGGCACATCAAAAAGATCAGTGCCAACTCACCTGGGGGAGAAACACTCCTTTGTAGATGTAGTTTCCAGCCTCTTTTTTTTTTTTCTTTGCTACTCTTGAATGAACGAGGGGATGTTCTGAATCACAACACCCATCTAAAATAAGACTGTAGCGGCAGCATCTGCCACAAGATAAACACGACTCCCTCTCTCTCGTCTGGCTTGTGTTCTCCCCAAGGGGGGGAAAAGGAGGAGGAGAGTGCATGTATGTGTGCGAGAGCGAGCAACCCTCGGTCATGTTGACTTGTTGCCGGTCCTTTTCCGGCGCCGTTTGTGGGAGGGAGGCTTTGAAGTTTGCCGGGAAAAACAGCTCATAGCGGAGGCTTTGAAGGAGACGTGGCGGGGAGCTGCCGAAGCCTCTCCGTACTGTAAATACAGTCGATGCATTGTGGGTAACGTTCGACGGCTGCTGCTTCTTCTTGTGTCGCCGGCCCGAGCTGGGGCGATGGAGACGCCACCTGCCAAGCGACCGCGCATCGGAAAATGACAGCTTTACCTCGAATAGCCTGGACAGCTTTACCTTCTAAGAGTTTATCGAGAGAATAAACGTGAAGCCGAAAAGAAACAAACAGTGTATTAAAAAGTGATTCAGAAGCATTTAATGCCCCGAGGCTAAAAGCTTGGACGTGTTTCGTTCATTAGGCTCTGAAAGCGGCGTCGTGATTCATCAAATACTCCATAAGTGATAGAAAAGGTAAAGAAGCAACTGTTTGGCGTCTTAAAGTCTTGAAGCTTTTAAATGATGATGATCCTTCTCAGAATGCAGCCCTGAAATTTTGACTTGACTCATGTTTGGGGTTACAAAATGAAGCTAATCAACAAATATCTGCATGAAGTCTGCAGATCATTGTGTCAGTTTGACCTCCGATCCCCGGAATAAAACCGACATCGCGCCACTAAACGGACTCCAAAGCGACAAAGGATCGCCGAGTTACTTGGAAATATCCTCATGTAGCAGCGTCATGACTTGAATCGGTGTCAAACAATGGCTTTCCAGCGTTTAGAGCCTTATAAATATGAATACGCGGCTCCAGTCGGAAAAGAGAGCCGCTTCTCCTGACTGAATGGTGCAATAACTATTACCGGTGATGAAATAATAAACTTTGTCAGGGGGGTTTTAGGGAGAGGTCGCTGCCGAATGTCTAAAAATGGCATCACCCTAATCAGGCACAGACAGCTCCGGCCCAGACGGCTCGATTTTTTGTCCTTTAATTTTTTATTTTAAAGTAATTCTCTCTCCCTGTGTGTGTAATTCGTTTGCAAAGAGCAGAAACACGGTGCAATTTGAGGAGCGGTTAGCTCTTATTTTCTACAGGAAACGAAGGAAGAATGTCAGAATGTGCCTGAAATTTATTCGGTGGCTTAGCAGAAATAAAAAAGAGGGGGTTTACTTATTTACAGGATGCTGATGAGCAACCTGCCTGTGAGATTGTATTACCGTAATTTCCAGATTATAAGCACCTACTTTTTTTTTGAACGCTTAAACAATGATGCGGCTAATTTATGGATTTTTGCGAATTTGCCTCGAGACGAACGCGACATCGAGAGCGACGACGACACTGAAGACTTTAGTGGTTTTAGTGCGCAGGAGCAAGATGAAGATAGCGGAGTGTGATTTTTTGTTTTGTGCAGATTTTGGTGAACGTAAACGGTTAGTTTTTGGCAAATTTTTAAATTACAATACATTTTTGAAAGATGAGATTTGATTGTTTTTCGCAACAAAATCAAAAGTCACTCGTGGTGAGTTCAAGGACTGTCGGGAAAGTTCAAAATCCAGCAGTTCTTGCTGGTAGATTGGGAAACTTTGGCGATATTTCTTTGGAAATAACATGCTTTTTAAACACAGTGGTAGACTTTGGGTTTTCAAAAGGTTAAATTGCTAATAAGCTATAAACTATTATTGGATTGTGCTGTTTTTAGTCTCTTTAATCTCTGTTGAAGATAGAGATCAGTGACTTTTCCTGGTAGGCTACTGTATTTTTTAGTTTTTAACCAGCTGTGTCACAGGAACTGTTTGGGAAAAAGCATTTACAGTATGTATTGAATTAAAAGTTTAAAAAGTCTTTCTGTGTAAATACCTCATGTTACAACACCTGCAGCTTAAAGACAAGTGCAGCCTGTAGATGTACAAAACTTGTTTTCTTTTTAAAGTCAGTGGGTGCGGCTTATATTAAGGTGTGCTCAATAGTCTGGGATTTACGGTAACTGCTTTGTCACTAAAGAAATTTGTCCATAACAATCAAAACTGATTTAAATCTGTCGTCTCCTTATGCAGCGATGCACCGCTCCAAGTGCTCCTGCAACGGCTTCCTTAAAAGTCCTGCTCTGTAAGTGTGTCGAGCACCATTTGCGACACACTTTCATCTTGAACTAATTGCAGAATTGGGAGGAAATTGTGCGAGTAGGGCAGGTGGGGAGCGACGATGATGTTGGCGCAGTCAGATTTGTGGGTGAATTTATGGTGCACAACCAGCTTGGTCTTCATCCGACACTCCTTTTTTGGCCTTAGAGACTTTTTTTGGGCCTTTTTCCACTCCAAATACCCCACTGTAGCCCCAGACTTAACTTCCATCACCAGTAATGATCCTTGACGAGCAATCTGGAGATTCTGATTTCGTCCAAGGTGAAAGTGCACCTCCAATCGGTCAGAAACATCGCTTTAGGTGTTGATTGCAGGAAATCCTGACTTCGCCTGAGCTGCTGTTTGCACGTGTTGCATATGCATGGCTGCGCTCAAGGGGAAACGTACTTCCTGATCCCGCCTCGTACACTGAGTTCATATGTTAAAGCATCCCTTTACCCTGCGTTTGCACATACAGCTCTATCTCAAGTTCACTTACTGTATGTGGACTCGCATCGTCCGCCGCATAGATTTGCCTAATGTCTCACTTTGTTGCGAGGCTATTGAACTGTACGTCTCTGCAGAATTTCGTGTTGGCTCATTAAAATGTTTTCAGATTGGTGATTTTAAACCTTAAGATTCCTCAGTTCGCTCTTGTTATACGTCTCCATTCTTAATGAGCGGAGACACTAATTCCCTTTAGTTTATACATCTGTTGAATAAAACAAAGGAAGAGCAAAGGAGTGCGAGAGGTATGGTGGGGGGGGTGCACTGAGATGGCGTCCACTGGGGTTGGAGTGGAGGAGGGAGGGTTAGGGAGGCGTGGAAAGTGTTTAATTAAAAAAGTTTCTCTGGTGGTTTGACCACGCGCTGGCTTTTGCTGGATGTTTTTGAGGTTTGAATGGTGGCCACAGTCCTGCTTAAATTCCTGCTAAAACAGGGCTAATCCCCCATCAGGCCGTCCCCCATGGGGCTTTGGTGCACACTTCCAGCCGTGAAGGGGGCCAATCAGGAGGAACGGCTTTGACGGAATGGAAATGACCCCAGAGAGCACCGCTGCAGAGGTCTTTGTCTCTCGCCCAGTCTCCTCCATGTATCTTCTTTTTTTTTTCTTCTTATTCCTCAACCAACAAAAGAGATATCTCTCCACTGCCTGGGCCTTTTTCTAAAGGATTCCCCTGGACAGAGCTTCCAGGGGAGAAATCTAATTTATTTTGGAACAAGGGAAAGAAAGACGAGGGAGAAATGCAAAGGGAGCGGTGGGAATTTCCTTTGAAACCTTATTAATAAAAGCCTGTATGCACTGTATTTTTGGGCTGTTTGAGACAAACCGCTGCGATCGCAACAAACCAATAGGACCATTGGAACGCCCCGACACCGGGGCTCGGCAGAAAGCAAATCTGGGATTTTTATCTTCCCTTTTATTGCCCTTTAATGTGATACAGTTGAACTCGGCAGCGTCTGAATGTCTTTTCTCGGAGCTTTTAGAGCAGCCGAGTCGAAAAGATTTTCTCTGAATATTCCCCGCATAAAACACACACGCCCGCAGGAGATCTACATTTCTCACTGCCAGATCATATATATTTTTAAAAAAAAGAGCTCACAAGGAGGACTCTGTTGACTCTTACATGCAAATCCAAAACACAACAGTGAGTCACTCTCATTATCCCACCGCTGTGAGAAAAGACGGGTCGGTCTGCAGCCGGCCCGTCCGTCCTCTGCATCGGCCCATCGATCCCTCTGATGTGAAAAGTGTTTTTGATCGGCAGTGGTTTCGTTATTGACAGCAGCCAGCCTCTGCCCCGCCAGAGACGCCTTCACTTCAAAAGCGAGGATAATGCGCCGATTCGGACACAAACAAGACAGAAATTTATAGATCCAGTGCCCCCGCGCAGACACACACATTGACACACCCATGTGCACATTGGACAACATGGCCCGAGGCGGTGTGTAGCTGCTGCCAGTGTAATTGCAGCGTGTGAACCCAATATCGAGCTCTATTGTTTAGAAGTGGAGAAAACAAAACCAATATAAGCTACATGCATTGCTTTAAGTGCCAGTTGCAATCCCTTCATAAAAGAGAATCCCCTTTTGCCTCTCTACTTCCTGCCCTCCTATGATTTGTTCGTTATTCATGAAGCATATTGACCACACAGATCTTTTGCCCCTCCGCCTACCGGGAGGGCAGGAATCTGGTGCGGCATCGGAACGCCTCCCATGTACAGCTTGTGTTTATATGCACGTGGAATAATTCAAAATGCTCACTTAATCAATATTTCAACGCTCTTCAATCTATAATACATGCATCTCTGTTTTGATTCCCTCCCCTCCGCCGCCCATCAGGGAGGTGCGCGAATTCGCCAACGGCTCCGTGTGCCTGGAGTGCGATAGCCAGTGCGAGAAGATGGATGGAAACACGATGACATGTCTCGGCCAGGTAAGAGCCCTCCACTTCAAACGTTCTTCAACTTCCTTTTCACTTAATTTTTTTTTTTCCCCCTCCAAGATTAAAAACCACTCCCCTCATTTTTCTACGCGAGATAGCCTCATATCTCCCCGCGTGCTAAAGTGGATGTTTCTTTTGTTACGTGGGAGTCTATCTGTTTCGGATTGGGTAGATAGAAGTGCTGTTTGCAAAGGTGAATAGTAGGTTAATGGGAGGGATGATAAACTACTGCTATAGGAGATGCTTTTGGCACACACACACTCTCCAAAACAAAAAAAAAAAGATTAGTTTCTGACCTTCCCGTGGAGTCCCCTCTTTTTTTTTCCGCACCGTGACTCTCCAAAATGTTAGAATTTCCCTTTAAAATGTCAGCAGAGAGGATCTGAACACGCATGGGCGCATAAATCAAAACGCGTAGCATCGTTTGCACGATCACGCTGCTTATATTGTGTCCTAAAAGTCACTACGACAGAATTTAAAGCACCATGCTGTGGCGAACTTTCTATTTCAATAACATCTCAAAGCGTTTGTTCGGATCCGACGTCGTTTCTGCATTTAGATGCTTCAGGAGGATTCCGTCCTGGAGGGGTTGTTTTCTACGGCGATACACCGGCGGTTACCAAACCTGGAGGGGAAACCCAAGGAAAAAAAAGGGGATAATAAAGCAGGCAGAATGTATTTCCGCAACAACAAACAGTATTTATTTTTCGCTAATGGGGCTTGTGGATTGCCGGATATTTTTTGCCGTATCACTCCAGAGAATAGTCGTTTATCGGTGGTCGTGTAAAATGCGGTGGAATGACGAATTGGTTCAGGAACAAACGAGAAAACCTGGAAAACACACAAAAAAGAGACTCTAATTTTACAAAAATCATGGCGAGTTGCTCCAAATTGCATTTCAATCGATGATTAAAATGATTAAAACCGCACCAGACGAACAATTACCTACACTGGGAATTTTTTAAAAAGCAGAAAATAGCTTTGAATAAATAAAACACAATCAAATTAGCACTGATCTCGCTCTGAATATGCAGAATAAAGAAAGAAAACACAATCAAATGAAGAAATGCTGAAAAATATTTGCAACTCGTGAGAGGGATTCGTCCGACCATGAACAAACCAGTGATTAGCGACAGGCTAACGCAACAAATGCTCCTAATAATACCGTAATTATGCTAATAATCTTGATTTAAGTACATTTCTTTAATTGTGCTTTCTGTATGTGCCTGAGTGTTTTTCCAGGCCGATATGTTCCTTTTCTATTTGATAAATAAGATGTGTCGATTGTGTCGTCGCTTTCGCCCGTTTCTCTGTTCGCTCTGTGCACGCGTTCCCGTAATTAGCGTGTTGTGCGTGTCGTCCTCGTTGATCTCAATGCTCACCGAGCCTTTTTGGGAGTCCTTTAACCTGCATTCTACATAACAGCCAGCAGGGGGCGACTCAAAGAAGTCCAATTAAATAGACGTATATGAGGAAACAACCCTTCTTCTCGCTTGTTTTGCCGCCTCTGCGAACATTTTCCTAATGAGCTTATGGCGTCAATGACTAACTTTGAGACTCCGCCAATGCAGCATCGTGTTTATTTAGTGAATATCGGTACAGTTTGGGGTTAAATGGATGAAAAGCGGTGTCCTTGAGTTGAATCATTTTGAAGACCAACAGCCAAACTTGAGCCATCAGAACATCTTTTGTATCCACGTCCAACCAAATGTAAAGAAACCAATGCCGTTATGGTTTAATCTCCGTCCGATTGACTGTGTTTGTGCGGATACGAGGCCCTAATGTCCACAAGGCCCCACATTGCTTGTGTCTTACACATTCGCTCCATTTAGCTCCTCCGTTGTGCCCGCCGTATACAGTAAATCACAGTAGTGTTTTTCTGATTTAATTAGCTACTCCACTGGACTTGTTGGCACATTTTTCTTTACTCTGATGAACTCCGGCGCCGCAGTTTATTATGAATTAAACCCACCCACACCACGCTGGTGGCACAAACGCTCGCCGGCGCTCCAAATATATCAGCAAAGGGCTAATTTTACATTTGCGGAAAGTTGGATCTAATGTACTGCATGACTTATCTTGCGGGATTTAATGATTGTGTGACTAACCTTTTATGACCGTCCCGAGAGAGAGAGAGAGAGAGAGAGAGAAGACGAGATGAAGCTAGAGAGAGAGAGAGAGCAACTCCTCAAGGATGCACAAAAGGCTGGTGACTTTGAGATGCTGGTCACAGCTGAGTAGTAAATAACACCGGAGTCAATCATCCGCCAGCGCGCAAATAAACATGCACACGGCATACGCGGGCACACTCGAATGCGTTCCGACATCCGTGTGCGTCTGCATTAATGCGCGCACAGCACACAAACATGCAAAGTGAGAGTAATGTTTATTGATGGCGCGACTCCCCCATGTGTCAAAACCGTCCGTCAGGTCGCCGCGGTCGTCATTAGCAACAGGGCCGAAACTCCCCGACTTCTTCCCGGCAACAACGCGGCCGTCTCCTGCGCAGTTCGACACCTCCATCGCTTTAGACTGCACACCGAGTACAGTCAAGGTGTGTGTTTTTTTTAACACTCTCATACATGCTCACTACCCATCTTACTTATTCATGATGCTGCTGCAGCCCGGCTCGGTTACCGCTTGTCATCTCTCTCCATCACATTGGATGTGCTTTGACATGACCTGATTCCTCATGCATTTTTGCCAATTTTAACGGCGGCATACACTCAAGGCAATTCTTTTTTGCTCGGCGCGTTATAAATCACCGAATGGAATCCCGTCGGCTGAATTAGCCGCGATAGGACGCGAGACACGATCCGCCAGGTGCTCGGCTCAATTCTGTTCCCTTTATCTCTCCCTTTCCGTAACTTTTTCTTTGTGAATCCCGTCCCTGCAACCCTCCGCCTCTTTGTTCTCTGTCCGCCGCCCCCTTCCTCTCATCTCCCCTTCCCCTCCTTGTTCCGCTCGCCTCGCAGGGCCCGGACCAGTGCGTGAAATGCCTCCACTTCAAAGATGGACCCAACTGCGTGGAGAAGTGCCCCGACGGGTTGCAGGGAGCCAACAGTTTCATCTTCAAATACGCCAAGGCCAACAACGAGTGTCATCCCTGCCACGCCAATTGCACCCAAGGGTAAGAACGGGACGACGCGTAGAGATGCGCGTGTATATATAAAGGTGAATCCATTTCTTTTCAAGTCTTTCATGAGGAACCTCTGGGCTCGGGCGCTTTTATGCATCATGAGGGCACACCGCATTGCACCTGGCTGGTGTTACCTCCCTCCCTCCTACCGAGGAGAAAGCATGACTTAATCATGTAGCTGTATACATTCCCCTGACCTGTAGGTGGGTTCAGGGGCATCTCCGATCAGGAGCAGAATGTGTTGACCCTTAAGGTACAGCGCAGATGAACAATGCATGAAGGGGCAGACAGACAGACGGTAGAGATGCGAGGCCAGGGGGGGGAGGCGGTGGTGGAGGTGGTGGTGGTGCGATGTGGGAGAGGAAAGGTTGGCTCCAGCTAAAGAAGCCGGTGGAAGAACCGCCTGAGAGCCAAAAGGTCCACCTCGTTGTGTTGTTACAGCAGCTTCAGGACGGGATTCTGTCTGCGTGGCAACAAACTCAGGAAGCCGACTGTCAGAACCGGTGGAGTTTTAAATCCCGCTCGGAGCTCAGCTGTTCAGCTAATCTGTTCGCCCGCAACCATCTTGATAAGAGATAAATCGTTTCAGCGAAAATGTCAAACATTCTTAAATTCCACTTTTCACTTTGAGCTTCTCAAATATGAGAATCTATTGCATTTGTTCTGTCGGGTTTTTTAAATCATTGTGAATTAAATATATGACGGTTTTTAGCCATTATCTGAGAAAACACTGCTCCAGGATTTAAATGTCGGTTGTCAGGACGTACGAGGGCCGTTTGTCGCTACTTGTGGGCGTTTGTCGCTACTTGTTGGCGTTTGTTTTGGATAATCAACAGTTTGGTTGAGCCTTTATTAGAAGTTTTTCAACACGATCAATGAAGGAGTCGGGCTCGAAACAATGGAAATACCTTTCTGTGCTTTCTCTGATGGAAACAATGACACCGCTGTCCCAGACTAATGCACAGCAAAATAAATGAATCAGATGAAAAAGAAAATTAAGATTCTAAAAGATAAATAAATGACAATACGACTAATATGTTAAAAATGAAATAATAAACTTTTACAAAAAATAAAAGCCTTGTAGTGAAACATTGATAAATTGAAATAAATTAATTACATTTTTAAATTATTAGAAATTAAAAGTATCTCCTAAAAATACAATTATTTTCCATAATTAAAATACAATTTCTTGCATTTATTTTGCATGACTTCATGCATAATTTTTGACTTTTTAATGTCCAATGAAGGATGTGTAAAACTGCAAAATTAATTATACGTAATAATATATAATTACGCAGATGGATAAAATACATGTATAACAAATAAAACTGTATTTTAATAGAAAACCAATGGTTTGTTATAAACATATTCGACTTTTTTGTTGTGAAAACCTCTGTAATTGTACGAGTTATGTCTTATTTTACAAACAAATCAGTTTAAAATTATATTTAAATTCAGAAATAAATTCAGAGTCTTAAACTTAAATTTAGTGGTTTCATCTGTTAAAAAAAGAAAATATAGGGAAAATTATGATAAATTTAAAATATATTTTAGCAGCATTTTGATGTTAAAATATATATATATATATATATATATATATATTATTAATTATAATTATTATTTTTTCATTGCATTTATAAGAATTACAACAATAGTAATTATTATTATTATTATTATTATTATTAATATTAATAATAATAATAATTTTTAATTTTTTAATAGAGTTTTTTTAATTAATTAATAGAAATTGTTTGATTGTCCGACGTTTTTATTGTTTGTTTGTTTTTTGTTTGTTTGTTTTTTTTTAAATATTTATATGTTTTTATTGTAATTGTGTATGTATATGTAGATTCAGCCTATTTTGGGGATTTAAAGTATAAAACACATGCACAGCCACAGTACACAGGTTTTGAGTTAACATTTAAAAATATCTACGTTTTCAGCTCCTCTCACAACCTTTGGAAGACTTTCGCAGCACAAACGGCTAAAAGCAGCATCGTCGAACGTATTCGTTCTGCTTTGTGGAACAGCTCGAACAGAACAGAGCGAAAGAACCTGATTGGTGGTTTTGTCGACCAGCAGCGTTTCAGAGAAGTCGTCTGGTTCAAGGCCGCGCCGTGCTTCGTGTACCGATAAGAGTTTTAAACAGCTGAAGACTTTCGTGGAATGTGTGCACTCCTTTTAGTCTGTAGCAGCAGAATGTCGAACCGCAGCTGATTTATTGTGTTCCTCAGTCGAGCAGAAAGGCGAGCGTTACAATAGCGAAGGCTGGTCGTTATGAAAGCATTCGAAGCCATAGCCAGTACGAAGTAAGTACGAAGGAAACTGGAAACAGCTGAGTGTAAATATGTCCTGTCAGCACTTTTAAAGCTCAGGTGGATTTTTTTTCTTCTTACCTTTGCACGGTAGCGATTTTTCTCTGAAGATAACCAGCTCTTCTCTTCAGCTTCACATTGAATGCACAAACATGACCAATCTTGTACCCCCAAAATGTTTAAACTCATTAAGAGGTGGTGAAGATGACAGATCTGCACCACACGAGTCGACCGCTACATTTCTGCCGCCCGTCTCTTGTCTCGCTCCACAGAAGCTTTAATTCAGAGGCCAAAGCAGCACCAGCGCTCAAAAGCACAGATGCTGCAGATACAGAGAAAATTTGCCTCCTTTACGTATCAGCGCGCCCGCTTTATCTTTTCATCTTCTGAGGCGTTCGTTTTGAAGTCAACGCAGACGTGACTTTGAACTTGAGCCTTGCCCTTTTCTTAAACTGGAGGCACGCCATCGGGGGAAGCAGAGAGGAAGCGATGGGCGTGGAGGCCGAGGTGGAGCTCGCATGTGGTCTCGGCGAACAAAGTTGGAGCTCTGAAACCTAGCAACAGGGCTGGCTGAGAGGATGCGAGGTGGAAAAGGAAAAAAAAGGGACTTAATGTTCTGTCTCCCACATAGCGGGAGGTCATTTTATTTTACTGCAGCCACCCTGTAAATGTTGATGATATCAGTGCTGCTTTAAAGAGGCAAAGCAAATGAGTTTTTTTACAAGTCGGCGGGTTAAAGACGAGGAATGGGGCCGCGTGTAAAGGGAAAGATAATAGATGGATAGATGGAGATGGATTGTAATCATTTCCCTCATGCAGGTGCGAGTGTTTGTAATGACGATGTCGTTGGCATGATGATACCTCCTCCGTGCCCTCTGGTGAAAGGGTGAGCATCGAGACTGAACCAGAGGCTGAGGATTGGAGGGTTTTGTTGTTTATTCCATCTTATTTATTAATACTGATCTGAATGTGTCTGCTTCACGTGCCAATCATAGACTGTATAAAAGATGGACGTAGCTACCCGTTGGTTTCTGCACTGAGAAAATGAAGCCAGGGTTTTGCTACTTCCTGGTTGACATCTTGGATTTTTGGTGACGCAAAAATCGTCGGAGGGGGGCGGAGCCATAGGAGCAGCGATTGGTCGGACGGATTGAGAGGCGGGCCCTCTCTGCCCCGCCCACATTTACCGCCTTCTGCCGACTGTCAATCAAGCCAGCCACGCCCCTTGCCCCGCAAAGTGTTGACAATTTTTTTAAAAATTCTGTATTAATTTATTTTCAGATTGGCCACCTCGACCATGAAAACTAATAAGAAAAAAATCCTGAGCTGTAGGAATGCAGTATTTCATGATCTGTCTATGGGAGCCAGGGCTTTTTGGAGCCAGCAGCTAGTGGACGTAGTGATATTGCAGGTTTTTGACACTTCCGGGTTGGCTTCATTTTTCAGGGCCGGTTGCTACGTCCATCTTTTATACAGTCTACAGTGCGAATGAGCACACTGGTCGCTTTTAGTTAACAAAAAGTTGTAACCGACACAGTCCGGACTGCACGCCACTGATTACAGACAGACATGCACTAGCAAAATACCTTCAGTTGTGTTACCCCTCCTATTATCTTTGGGGTTAATTTGACCCCATTTAATGTTTAACACCTCTACATAAGATAAGATAAGCCTTCATTTATCTCACATTGGAGAAATTCACTGTATTATCAGCAGCAGTACACACAGAGATGCACACATGATAGAAGAACAATGAACATAGGAATGGAACAAATAACCAGTGTGCATGAAACAAAAGGTTGTTGGTCTACTGGGAGCGTAGCTGGTCGTGGAGTCTCACAGCAGAGAGGAGGAAGGACCTCCTGCGGTACCTCTCTGTGGAACAGCGAGGATGAAGAAGCCTGGCACTGATGGAACTTTCTGGTGCATTTACATGTAGAGCAGGGGTGCCCAATCCTGGTCCTCGAGAGCCCCTATCCAGCATGTTTTAGATGTTTCCTTCTTCCAACACCTGATTCTAATGATCAGGATCATTATCAAGCTCTGCAGAAGCCTGATAACGATCCTGATCATGTGAATCAGGTGTGTTGGAGGGAAACATCTAAAACATGCAGGATAGGGGCTCTCGAGGACCAGGATTGGGCACCCCTGATGTAGAGGGTGGGAGGTACTGTCCATGATTGATGACAGCTTTGTCATCATCCTCCTGTCACCGACCAACTCCACAGGATCCAGACTGCAGCCCAGGACGGAGCCGGCCTTCTTCACCAGACTCTTCCTCCCAGCAGACCACACCATAAAAAAAAATGGCTGACATCATTTTTTCAGTTTTATTTGAAGGGCTATTGACACATAAACAATTTAAATTACGGTATTTTCTGGAGGTTTAAATTACTGGGGCCAAGGATAAATTTGAAGTTAACAGGAGGGTTAAGCAACTGATCCGAAAACATTACAGAGAGCTCAAACGACCCTCATGCAGTCAAATCACCAAACACCTTTCTCTATACGTTCCCATCTATTACAAACCGAAACGTAAAGATTCAACTAAACTGCGATGGCGACACAGACTCCAACAGGTCAGATTATCGAGACTCACTGATCATAAATGTAATCTGGAGCTGAAGTTTAGTTGGTTGCTTCCAGTTGTTAGCAGGAGTCCTTCCTCTGAGTTTATACAATCATTGCAGCGTCAAACAGGATCCGTATGAGGAGCGTTGGATGCATTTGCGCACATGTGATTATATAGAATATGTGTTTATTTGCTCCTATTGCATGTATGACAACTGTGTCAGAACGAAGACGTGGAGAACGCTGAAAGCAATCGACACGTGAGCGGCAGATTTCAGTCACTTTACCAAACCGATGAGGCGGCAGTATGTTGGCGCTTTAAAGAAAAGAGCATGCATTGTGCCTCGCTTGTTATTGTCAGAGAAGTCCTTTGTTCTTCGGCAATGCGGGAACCGAATCGAATGCACATCCACGCGTACGCACACACACAACACTGGATACAGACACTGATTGCTTGCTAATTAGCTATTTGGCGCGCCGTTTAATTGACAGCGAAGCGACTTTGGAGGAGCCACAGTTGTCACCGATTTAATTCCAAAGTTAGCCTGCTCTTCTAATTTGCTCTGTAATTTGTTGTGTCTTGTGTGCTCATGCAGCTTGCACACACACACATATATACACACTGAGAGAAAGAGGCATTCAGAAACTGTTCTCCTGTGTCTGTCCTGCTGTTCAAAGTCCTCCACTCAAGGATCGAGAATTAATGAGCAGCTAAGAGTCGGCTCTAATCACTTCCTGCTTACCTAATGTTAACAACACCTCTCACTGATCGCCGTGTTGTCGGCGCCGCGTTCCAGCGGATTTGATTTTTAAGACTCTTGTGTTTGGAGAAAGATGAATGAGATTCCGTTGGAGAGACGGAATCAGAGGGAGAAGTCTCCGGAAAGGCTTCAAACGGGACCAAGTGTGGATTACAGCATCTTTAAATTAATTATGCAAAATAATTGAAATACTTGGTTGGGAAAAAAATGAAAATGCACGCACCAAATAGCCTCCGAAATCAGATTTTTGGCAGGAAAAGCAGGTTTTAAACACATATAACTACAAAAATGACCTATTACTTTAATTCATCCAGCAAATATTTGCCTGTTTTCACATCTAAAATACATAAAGCAGCATTCATTTCAAGTTGTGGTTACATGAGCAGTTTAAGTTCAATAGAAGAGCTGCTTTTACCTCTGTTTTGGTCTCCACCAGTTCCTAATGGAAATACCGCCGGAGATAATAACAACGAGATGAGCTGTTATGTTTGTTGTGTTTGTGGTTGTTGTGTGTATAGACTAGCTAATGCTTATGCCGGCGCTAACGAGGATCCTAATGAACGAAACCAGCTAGTTTTGTCTATCTGCTGGTCAGATCCTGTGCAATGGGGATTTTACAGCACATGACGCCAGTGAGAGACAAAAATGCTAAAGATGACTTTTTCAAAACCAAAAATGTGTGTTTACAGACAGAATTTACAGAAATAGTTTCGATGTAAATGCCGTATATGCACTAAAGTCAGGACACGTGAGTAATTCTAGTGTTTAATGGGTTTTATTGGATGGTTTTATGAATGTTTTTTATGAATATTTTAGCTTTTTTTTCCATTTTGTTTTTGTTTTTATGTTATTGTATAATTCATTTATTTACTATGCACTTAAGGATGGCACTTTCAATTTTGTTGTTGTCATACAACGACCATAAAGAAATTCTGATTCTGAATTCTGAAGCCCTCTACTTGAGTACAGTTTGACGGTAATTTATTTGAATTTGAAGCTTAAGTTTAGATGCAAATATCGTCCTATTTACTCCACTGCGTTAGTTTATTGTAATGCTTTAAAATATAGTCAACAAATAAATAGATAACATTTACCTTTATTCAGTTTAGTTTGCACTAAAAATGTGAATTAACTGGATTTAGATTAAGTCAGGCTAAGAGTTAACCAGATATGTTAATCTAGCTAAGTTAAATTAACTGAACTTGCGAAATTGAATCAAATAAATTAATAAGTTGAATCAAGTAGAAAGTGGTTGTAGACGGGCTTGTTTTTTTTCTTTTACATTTTGTAGGTTTTAATGATGTTTTCCCTAATTTACCGTCCATTTATCCTGGGAGGATGCAGCGAGATAACAACCGTCACCTCATTTACCATTTAAGACAACAGCAAGTTTCCACTGTTTTCTCCAACTACAAAAAAAAAAGAAGCATCTCTTAGGGTTTTAACTCTCTAACAATGCATCTAGGGAAGTCTGCTAATCTGCTTTTCTTTTCTTACGACGTTAATTTAACAAGTTCGGCGAAACTCTCGGCTGTTTATTTATTGAACTCATCATTTTAAGTCAAACTTGTAAGAAGTCAAGGAGCTCGAAAGTGGTCGTAAGATAGAAATTTAAAGTCCAATTAACTAGAAACCTCTATATTTGCATTAATTTATAAAGTTGACTCAATTCCTTTTATGATGTTTTACAGTGTAATATTATAGATGAGGATAAAACTTCACGAAACAAGAAACCCAGCAAATAAATCCGCATTAGCAGCTCCAACATTAATGAACACATCACTGCATTAGTAATTATAATCCAGTAATATAGATTATTATGTCTGCATAATGAGTACTTTTGAAGTATATTTTGATCTTGTGCTTTAATTAGAAATTTAAATACAGATGCACTTCTTTACCGAAAATTCAAAATGCTGCCCGACAGGAGAAGAAAACTCCTGGTCGGGCATCGTTACCACGGCGAAGCTGGAGTGCTATGGATTCTTGCACAAGCGTCCCTCCTGCTGCTGCTGTATTTATGGAAAAAAAGGAGAGTGTAAAAAGCAGCTAAGTAAAGCAGCTGTGAAGGGAATGAACTGGGCCGATAATATCCCTGGAAGGCTCAGCGGTAAACCCCGCCGCACCGCAACGCGTTCGACACCAACCCGACACGGCGTCCACACCTCGACCGCAACTTCACACCCGATATTTCTCAACCTTGTTCTTTTTTTTTTAAAAGCTTAGCCGAGGGAATAGTAGAGAAATAGCATCTCTAAATGTTTCTATAGGTGGCGAAAGGGTGTTTCTTATTGAGATTTAAGTTCTAGAACAAGTTCAGCACAGTGCTTTGGTTTGGTTGGAAAAAAAAAAGAGAGAGAAGTAAATGATGCAGGAATGTTTTTCTCACCTCGAATAACACAAACAATGCCTTCCAACCCTTCTCCCCCGTCATATTGACAAGCGGTCGGCCGTGCTCGGGATTCAATTTTCCTCCGGTCCCTACCGGGTGACAGCTGATTGACGTGGTCGAAAGACAACACGAGGTTTACTCATAACCTGTCCCTGATTTAATGGATGATCTCTCTGGTTTCTCTGCCCTGCAGGTGCGTCGGGCCAAGACTCCAAGATTGTGTCGGGATGATGGACAGGTAAGGGATCTCCGTTTGTTGCGTCGGAGGCAGCCTTTGGATCCTGCCACGACTCATTAAAGCCCCCCCCCCCGCCCCTTAAACCCCGTTTCTCATGATACTCATTAACAGGAGGGCCGTCAGATTTTTGTGTTCCGTAATTGGCAGATGACTTCGGGATCTGTTGTCGTTCTCGGAGGTGCTGCTAAGCCTTCTTGCGGTTCCATTTACGTTGCAGTTAGTTAGAACCGGTGCGGAAAATAATACGAGGAAGCTTTTCGATGAAAGTTGTAGAATTAGTAGCGACGCAACGGTTTTACACTTACTTCAGGGACAATATTAGCACAAATGTGAAGGGATAGTTTGATATTTTGGCAAAGAGTGGACTTTAAGACTCTCATTTATGAACGCACAATCTAGTGGAGAACGCTCATAATTTGGTTGCTCAAATCAACATGCGTTAAAATACGCTGGTCCACAGTACAATGTGTATTAGTTTCGCAGTAAAGGCTGAAGAATTGTGAGATGTTTTGGGTTTTTTTTTTTTTTGGTGTTTGACCCGAGTCCACATTCGGTTTAATCTTAAGAACATCTAAAAAAGTTTGCATTGGATGGTTGGTGGTGGCCTCACCCCAACTGGTCGAGGCAGGTTTTTGGTTCCTTCCCATCATCGCCAACTGTTTGCTCATATGAAGTCCGAAGGCAGCTTTGGATTGTTGGGTTCTCTATTCTCTGTTTCAGATATGTGAAGTGCTATGAGATGACATATGTTGTAAATTGGCACTATATACATGAAATAGAATAGACTTGAATTAAAACAAAGGACTTCCACCCATGAGACTGGAGCTCCACTTGGGATTATTCCTTTTTTTGTATTATTTTTACACTTTTCTGCATTTTTAACTGCTGTTTTCACTCATTTTCAGTCACTGTTTGCTTCGTTTGACACTTCAAAGCTACTTGGTTAAGTTTAAACAACTCAGTTAGGCTTGTACAAGTTTATCATTTGGGTTCAGTGCATAAACTAACCGGAAAGCTGCAGTTGTTTTCTGTCAAGTGTTTTACAATTTAAGAGCTTTTTTTTGGTGAAAATAATACATGTGGATCAATGTAGCTATTACAATTATTGCTATGAGACCAGGATGCTCAAATTAGATGCAAAACATTAAATACAGTGAAATAATTCAATTATATTGTATTTACATCGCACCATTTCACCACATAGGTCATCTCATAGCACTTCACATACGAAGGTGAAGACCTAACAGTGAACCCAGCAATCCAAATTTGCCTTTGGATTCCCAATGAGCAAGCAATCGGTGGCAGTGGAAAGAAACCAAAAATAAATAAATAAATCTTTACTGACTAGGAAAGAAAAAACCTCCGACAGAACCAGGCTCAGGGAAGGCGGCCATCTTCCTCCACCAGTTGGGGTGAGAGTGGAGTCATATTGGACACAGCCATTGGTTTTTGCATTGATGCTAAGCTAAGCTAATCTTCTCCTACCGCACCGTACTTAAAGAAAACACATTTCCAAACATGTTGAACTCTTCCTTCAAGGGACTAAACATCAGGACTTGATATCTGATTGGCTGCTGCTCGGTCTGCCTTACACTTTCCACACAATTTAAGCAACGAGTTTCTTTTCTTTTATCCATTGTAACCTTTGAATGTTTGAAAAGCTCAGCAAAAAAGTTCTGTGGGCTTGGTTCCAGATTCCATACCTTCAGTGCAACCACAAACGGACTCGCTATTATCACTAATATGAACAACAAAACATCCAAGTGGGGTTAACGCAACTTTTGAGGACGCGCTACCTAAATAGCCCAACGGCAATTCCATTAAAGACGGCCGTAAAAGATCTTTACAATTAGAGCGGATTCAAAAGAGGCTCATTAGGATGTAACCGAACCGGCAGAGCCCATAAAAACAGAAGCATTAGGAGTCTTTTGAACGGAGGAAACGGAAATGAGACCTTTATTTTTTTTTTCTTACTTTCCTCTGGGAGTCTCTTCTTCTTCTTCTGCTCGTACAATGGCATTATTCCCCCGTCTCATCTGATGACCCCGTGTCGCTTGTTCTGCTGTAAACCTCTCCTCCTAATTAAAGAAGTCCTTTCCTTTGCCTGCCTCACTCTTTTTTTTTTCCCTTCTGCTTCATCCTGAGCTATATTTAAATGTTTCCCCTCCTTTATTTGCCTTCCCTCTCCCCACCCAAACTAATCACTCCAAACTGCTGCATTGCTATTCACCACATGGCCGTGTATATATCTCATTATGTCGGAACCCGCGGCCTCTTTGTAAATTTCAACCCCCTCCTCCTTCCTTTAAGTCCGCCGCGATCGATAAGGCGAACGCCGCGGCACCTTGCTCCACCGTAGCACCCCGGGTACACGAGTCTTCCATTAGCGGCTAATGGCTTCTGCGGCTAATAGAGTATCGGGGTAGAAGTGGATGTTGTTTTACGCCGCTGTTTTCCAAAAGAAGTTTCTGGTGAGAAAATGGAATACAGATGGGAAGAAAAGAAGGAGAGGAATGAGTGGTAACAGTAGACACAAGTGCAAGAGGTATGTAAATGGCAAATGCATTAGTGGCATCGTTAGTGAAGAGAAAGAGCTTTTAACTTTCAACCTTTAGGCTTAAGCAGTTTCCTTCCAACCCCCCTAACTCCCTAGAAGATGGAGAAGAAATTTGCGAAAGATAGGCGCTTTTAATTCCTCGTTTAACACAAACAAGATGTTCTCCCACGACGTCATCCGAGTTTTGATTCGAGATTCAAGGGGTTAAATGTGACGCGGCGGCAGATTGGATAATTCATCAGGCTGAGGTTTGCACTTTCTTTCAAAGTGCCTTTTAGTTTCTTAATGTTTCAGCAATGTTAATGTTTTTTTTTCTTCCTCCCTCTTCTTGTCTCTACAGGACACCCCTAATAGCAGCTGGCATTATCGGCGGCCTATTCATCATCGTCATCCTGGCTCTCAGCGTGGCCGTCTACGTGCGACGCAAGAGCATCAAGAAGAAGAGGGCCTTGAGGCGCTTCCTGGAGACGGAGGTGAGAGGGGAGAGGTCGCGGCAGGGCGTTCGTTTGGTAGTTAAAGTAAGCAACCAAGCCAAACACAAGAGCTTTTTTTTTCTGCTGAACTTCCCACTTTTGACTTCATTCAAGTCGCGGCGCACTTTCGCAGATGGATGCCGCTCGAGCCGCATTCCTGAGCAAAACCTTGAAACCTTGACTGCGGTACTTAGCCAAACCAGGAGGTTTTCAGCATTATGCACGGCCGCCGTTGCCCATCGATCCGGCCTTGGAGGAGGTTCATTTCTGGGAAGCATTAGACGGCGGAGCGGGGGGGTTTTTTTATATTCAAAGGAGTAAGATTGGAGGCGCAGGTGAGCGCGGGGTCGATGCGAACGTACAGTATGCGCTGATGGCTTTTGTGCCACTCTCCTGTCCCGCGGTTGCGTCGTCGGCGAGCGGCCTCGCCTGCAGGAGAGGCTGCTTGTCAGGCTGCATTAGGATAATCTACAGGTAGAGGCGGCAGCGTTATAGACAGCTGTCAGGAGAGAGACGGGAATTGGAGGAGGGCAGCCATGGGCGGCTTCATCCCAGCCACACACATCCATCTTAATCAAGCGGGCCCCGTTCCGACAGCCGCTTGACCCGAAGGGAAGTCTCGAGTCCAAGCAGATTCGCTAATGTACTGTCACGGAGCAGGAGGAGGGGTTGCGACGGAGCAAGAGGGATCCCCTTGACCCTCCCGTATAAATAGACAGGTTTTTTTCGATTGGACGCTCCCACCAGGAGTCAATTTACCCGAAGCAGGTGTAATTGGACGTAATAAAATCTTAAACGCCCCGGCCTGGGGGTGAGGCGGTCCGGTCATTAATGCCGGGTCAGGGGTTCAATCCCCACAACAGCTCGTGTCCATTAGCAGCCTTGTAGTCACGTCCGGAGCTGGAAAATGGCACCTGTGATTCGTGGGACATTTGACAAAAATTAGGGGCTGCTTCTTAATTCGTCGTCGGGGTCTTCGCCTCGGCCCTGGACTTTAAATCTTGAATGTATGAATTCACACACTCACACAGCTCCTCTCCATCAGAATGCTGCTCTCACTTTCCCAGCATACTAAAAAAAAAAAAAGAAAAAGAAAAAACTGCACTTCTTGCAGTCTGTATCGCGCTTTCCAGAGGCTCTCTCTCGGCTGATGAAACCACGCGATAGGCTTTTGGACGGCTGGCGAATGCGGATTCTCTATTCAAACGAATAATAGAGCCGAGTCTGTGTCTGTGAATGGAGATCAAGCTTGTCTGGATGAGGGATTTGGGGACAGCGAAGGCTCAGGGACTCCCCCCCTCCTCCTCTTCTCTCTCTCCTTATCTGCCATAGCTTTTTAAACACAGAGCTCACCTCTCGTGTCAGACAGGGAAAAGATGCCTCCAGTACGCGCTGTCAAAACGTGATCTGAGCGCTCAGCCCGGCATTTCCATATCAAGGACACGTGTGAAGGCTGTTGCGCTGTGTTGACTTGCAAAACACACCGCTTTTTCATTTCTTTGTTTTACTATTCTCTGTCTTTGCTCCTCACCTCTTCTTGTTTTTTTTTTGTGTTTTTTTGATCTCCGATTTATCTCCCTCCCTCCCTCGTGAACCGACATTTTATTCTTCTATCTTTTCAACTCCCTCCCTCTCTCACGCTCTCTCTCTCTTTTTCTTTCTCTGTCTCACCTTGAAAAAACTACAGAGCCTCATAAAAAAAAAGAAAAAAAGCCTGTCTCACACTGTGGTGCCTTTTGAAGAAGCCCCTGAAAACAAATTACTTTTCACAGGCAGAGACAGCACAAACAGCAGAGTCCCTTCACTGTTGCAGCGCGACCCCGGGCCTCGAACTCTGACCTCCGTCCAATGAAGCAGGACTAATGCGCTTGGAATCGTCCTCCCCTCTTTCTCTCTCCCCTCTCCTCCCCCAATTTCCTCTCCCGGCTGCTCTGTTCAGACCATGTGAGTGTTTCAGCACCACGGGGTGTGGACAGCTCTCGTGTTGCTTACATGCTCTCCTCGGCTCGCCTACAAGACGGATTTCAGCATTCGAGGGAGTTGGACAGCTCCCGTTGTTCGCCCCCGGGGCATGCTGGCTGAACGGAGGCGCGGGACATTATTACGGATGCACGCGGCGCGGCCAAACGTTGTTCATTACGCTGAACCGTATGTTAAATCTAAGTCAGGAGCCCGGCGCTACAAATCAAATGTGACACCAAATATGTGTTTTTTTTTGGGCACCCTCCAAAGGGAGTCCAGCCAACGCAGAGGAGAAATCCTAGAGGTTTGTAAACTGGGTGTTTCATTTACTCAACGCCTTAGTTTGTTGATCAGATTGTCAGATAACAGGAAAGTGCTTCCTCCTTAAACCTTCATGTGTCGTGTTGAATGCCATCGAAGTGTGACAAGAAAAGAATGTTTTATATTCTGGTGCAGCCAATAAAAAGCAAAAAAAAGTCTATGTTATAAAATATATTCATAAACT